AACTCCGTCTCCGCCCATAGGATTGACGGCACAAATCACAACAAATTGCTTTAAAATGACGCAAATCGACAAAAATTAGTCGACATATCAGAGAAGACTATTCCGGGTAAATATTATACCAATTTATCGCTTATCATAACATTTCATAATTAGACTCCATTTGAATATTTAGACCTTTTGTATGAAAACATTTTTGCTTTTATTAAATTGTATTAACAATGAATTTTTCGTTCAAAACTATATTTACATTCAAATAAATATAACTTCGTTAATGAATTGTTTGCTTAACTAATAGTGTATTCGTTAGTGAATTGAATGTGTTGTTAAAAGATTTACATTTTCTTTGATTTAAATGACTTTTCGCTTAATTAAGCGAAGAATAATATTACAGCAAAGAAGTGTAAAGTAATAAAAAGTGTTTTATTTAATTTCTTGGCAAATATAATAACATTTAATGAATACAATCGAAATGATTTTTTGTTAAAATTATCAAAAACCTTTGTATTAAAATTATTCATTTTTAAAACAACTTAAATTTAATTTATGCAATTATTCAATTGGTTTTAATATATTAGTAAAGCACAAAAAAATATTATCACTTTATTAAGTTATCTTGTTAAGATATCATGTTAACAAATAAACAGTTTCTCTTATATAAATAATGTTAATTTAAATAATTTAATTAATTTTATGCATCATTTTTATGCAACAAAATCAAAATATTTGTATAATTAGTAGTAATTATTCATAGATTCTATTTTTTGTAAAAAACAAATTGTTGTGATTTTCAAGCATTAATTAAATTTATTCAAACTATGCATTTGTTTATATTATATGATTGCATTATGTAATATCATTTTGATCTTGTTAATTTTTATTTCAAAAAGAATTTCAGAATTTTACAGTTTAAGAATTATAAATTTTTATATTGATATAAATCTATATTATATAACTTTATTGCAAATTATGTAAATATTTTAGTTAGTAATTATAGGCAAGAAACCTAAGGATATTAATAACAATTTAAATATAAATTCATAAATAGATTAATCATAAACAATACGTCAAACAAGAATGCAATTAGAAATTTAAATATTTTGATTACGAGTTATAAAAAATAATTTTCCAATTAAATGTTTAACGACTACATGTTGCGCAATCAAATGTAAACATGGGTATTTAAAAATATATAGTCATTATTCTTACAAAATGCTTGATAAAGAATTTGAAATTTCCACAAAAATCTTGGTTTCAATGAAACAATGTTTAAGAATATTTCGATTAAAGACTCGTTTTGATGGGTTTGGTGTAAAACCCAAAGTGCAGAACCAGTCCTAACCTGTCCGGTGAAGTTTAGATCGGATTTCACTCACTTTCTTCACTTTTACTATACATATAATACTGTATTTTAGAAATTTCTACCTTTTTTTTGTGCTCAAAAATATCTGTAATGAATGTAAGAGTATTAAGAAGTTGTCGGAATCCAAGTTCAGCCATGAACTCATGGCTTTGTGTTTTGTTTTGTACTCACTATACAGTTCTCACTATACGTCTAAAGATAGACTATTTTTTATATTTAAATCTTCAGTTAAATCTTTGAATAAAATTTAATTGAAAGAAACAAATTATTACTGAGAATAGCATTTTGTTTAAGATTTTAAAAGTCAATATCTAACAATAACTAAATCTTACACTAAATTAACTTTAGAGTCAGCTTTATATGAATTACCGTTTAATTTAATTGTAATAATTTTAAAATTCATTGAATATAAGATTTACATTATTTGATATTAAGTTTGCATTATATTGTTTATTTAATCAAATTTATACAAATTCATTCAATTATACTTTTGTGGCGCTAAACATTCAAATATTTTACAAGTAGAATAATGTAAAATTTTAATACAGTATTATTGGGTCATGGACACTTGCTCGAAACACACTTGCTCGAAATACACTTGCTCGTGTGTGTTTATTTGCAAAATTTTGAGCAAGTGTATTTTGAGCCAGTGTCCGGCTCCCGTATTATTACTCTACATACAACATAACATTTAAAAACTAACAATATGTATATTTGTATTTAATCTATTGTCTAGGTTATGTAGGCCTACAGATATAAACTTACAATCTATTTAACACAAAAATTTCTAAAATAAAATACATTAATAGAAACCGCGAAAGAGTTGAACACTTTCTCATATAATTGTAATCTTATGTATTCATCAAACTTAACAGTTTGTATATATTATTGGTTATTACAGGTTATTACACCGTTGTGTACAATATTTTACTATAAATTGTAAGTAAAAACCGAAAATACAACATTTCATCCGCATTTTACCCCTTAAACACTTAATAATGTTAAAATGTTGACAAGTTTTTAAATGCTGTACCATCTTTAGTACTAGTTATAAAGTTGATAACTCTATGTAGTAACCATGTTCATCGGCTGATAGCGCTCTCTAACAATATATAATTCTATTTCTTCATTGAATGTTATATAAAATGCAAGTTTGTGTCTATACTACAGATTCTATAGCAAAATGTCTACAAATATTTATTTAATTTTATACAATGTTCATATTAATTAACCCGATTATTCTTTATATCAATTATAGAGTGACAGAGTATTTGAGTGTAAAGTATGAACGTAAAAATATGTACACTTTTACTCATTTGGATTTATTCTACAAGTGTATAGTGTGTTGGTATTGAATATTGAAATATATTTAAAATAAAAAGTTTTTAGTCTAAACAAAATGAATGTTAAAATCTAAAAAAACTGATAAAATCCGATGACTTATCGCTGTATTGATCACTGGTTTTATGCAAACAATAAGATTTAAAATGCAAAACAAGTGATAAACAAGGTTCACATGGCAATGCTATGCGTTAACCACAATTCGGTTAACCACCACTAAAAAATCTCATAGACCTAACACTAGTCCGGGGGCCGAGCGATCCTATAACCACATTATTATATCTGAATTGTGGTTAAAAATAGAAATAAAGAATTATTGTTAAGCATTTGAAAAGTTGATAATTTATGAGATTTCTGTATTTTAAACAACTCTTTCTTTTTTTCTTCAATTCAAATGCAAATTCAAAAATTTATGAATAAATGCATTAAAATATAGATTTATTTAACTTTAAAGTTATATTTTTTCAAGTTTTGTAAACATAATTAATGATATGTATTTCAAATCTTAAAATTATTACACATATATTCTAAGCCATAAATATTTGTCCAAACTTCATAATAATTTTATTTAATTAATTATATAATTAACTGTTTATCATATTTTCAAAACAATTGAAAAATTGTTAATTTTACAATAATTTCATGTTTTATATTAACCACTAATTGTTACATTAAGTTACTTAATAAATCTCTAACATGGACTGAAACATTATTTTTGACAACAATTTTACAAAAATGTGAGCATTTGAAATGGAGAATGGTACATTTCTAACCCTTTTGCACTCATGGTACATTTCTAACCCTTTTGCACTCAATCCAATGATAATTGGTGTATAGTTACTACACTGTCGTTGTAGCAAATATAGACATCAATGTCACATCATAATAAATTGACAAATAATTTTGAAACATTTGATTGATGTTATTCTAGAGCATAATATTTACAATATTTACAATTGTTTGTTAATTCTTTGTATTAGTTTTATTCTAATTGTCATTTCATTAACTTGAGTATATTTTTAATTAAATAAATTGAACTAGCTAATTTAATTTAATATGAAATAACATTATAGTATAATTGAAAATTACTATGAGTGAATTAAAAATTTGATTTATGATATTATTGACCTTATTTATACTTTTATGTTAAATAATATTTTAAAGCAATTTAAACGTTATATTTATTATTATATTTAAATGAAAACTTTTAATATTTGTAACTATAATTCAAATACAATGATATTATCAGTGAATACCAAACTATTATAATATTTATATTTGGATATAAAATACAAGTATTCAAAGCAGACAAAGAAAAATGTATAACAAAATGAAAATCACATTATTTTTATTTATTCGCAGAAATAATCCAAACATTGAATTCTTATCGCTTACATTCAGATGAGAGTCAAAAAGTTTTTAAACATATTTTTGATTAAAAGTAACAATTTTTCAAATAATATACCCATCAGTTTATACGTATATTTTAATCCATTTTAATAGTAAATTATCCCAAAAATGTTTCTTACAATAAAATGCTTATAGTTTTATATACTTTTCTCAAAACAATGTTTGATAATTAAATTAAAATTATTTGTTAATATAATTAACACACTATAGATATGAATACTATTTAATTATAACAATAATATATATATGAAATAAAACAAATGAATTATTAAACAAATAGACATTCACTATATCTCGACTACATTTAAATAAATAAGTTTTAAAAATCATAATTTGATTGTTGTTAACAATGATAGCAAAGATGTGTTTATCGTCTCTCTTCTGAATAATAATTATGAAGAGATTCTTGAAGTGGTGTTCGTTTTCCTAATCCAAAAGAATATCTCCTTTTATTATATTCGTCGAAATTGTTTTCTCTCTTACCTAAACATAGTATACAAACAAAGTTTACAATCAATACTTAATACATGTATTAACTTATATCTTAATTCACTTTTAATTGTTGTTATAATAAACAAAACAATTTACGATAAATTTTACGCAAATCAATTGCTTTTCAATTCTTACCCAAACCAAAAGCAAATCTGTTGTCTCGTTGAGTCGCTCTTTTGCCTAATTATATGAAAAACAAATAATTTGTAAAACTGTGTGTTATTTGAATTTGAATTATAAAATGTAAGCATTAAATACGATGACATGAATCCATACCCAATCCAAATGAAAATCGTTGTTCATTAGGTTTGGCACGTTTTCCTAAACCGAAAGCAAACCTACTTTGTTCGGCACCTCTTTTGTTATAATCAGGTCCATAGCCTTCATCCGAGTCTTCGCTATTGTCTTCCATGACATCTGCGGAATAGTCGGACTTTTTGCCGATTCCGAAGTTGTATTGACGCGGAGCCGCCCTCTTGTCCATAGAGACAGCACTGTTTGAATTGGGGTGTAATTTATGGCCCATTTGTGTGTCAATGGGTCCCACTTCTGGCGCTGCCATTACGATAGTCAGCAATAAACTGCACGACAGATACGACACGAGTAGACAATTGAGAGAACACTTCATTACGTTTAATACTGGGAAGTGATTGCCTTTGGATGTGATTCTGTTTGACATAAAGTAATAATAGGTTTTAATGCAGACATTAATTAAACAGTGCATATAATCAGCATTTTTGCCTTAATTTAAATTAAGTTAATTGTGATTTAAGAGCTCTCTCTCTCTCTCTCTCTCTCTCTCTCTCATTCATTCTCTCAATACAAACACATATTCAGTAGAATTATATCATTTCTTCACTAATAGATATACATATCATAAACCAAATTATACTAAATACCGTATAATAATGTAAATTTAAAAATATGTTTAGAAATTAAGAATTTATTTAAATTAATTGTAAATTAATTAAATTATAAAGACTTAAACCCTATATTAAAAGCAAATTATTATTTAGAATTGCGTAACGTTTTAGTAAAGAAGTCAAACTACAAACTGTATTATACAGTACATATTGTAAGTTAATATAATATTATTTTTACATATATTACAGTAAGATATAATTATTAAAATTTATTTTCCATTAGAGTAATAAATATAAAAATATTTATTAATTCCATAACATTATTAAGAATTAAACTAATATGAAATTAAAATTACAAAAAATGACCGATTCTTTACTGCAGTCATGTTATATTAAATTACGTGTAATTACTTTGGTATACAGAATATCATAGATATATGAAGTGATGTTAAAATAAACAAAAATTAAATCATCGTTTCGATGACAGAACTTCAGACCTAATTGTAATAAAAGGTTAAACAAATTTGAAAATAAATCTCTGTTTGCGTCTTTGACTTCATTCCCAATCCTATGACTTTTGTGTCCCATTTATACACACAATCAGAACGACTGATAGTATAGTACTATTCAAAAGGACTTAAAATCCTATTTTAAAGTTTATTAATTATAATAACAATTGAATTTTTGGCAAACAATCCAATTATTAAAATCAGCGGAAAGCAAAAACAAGGAGAAATAATT